CCCAATCCTGGGCCAGGGCTGTTGACGTTAGCAAAGATGCCCCACACCTGAGAATAAATGACAAGCAGACCCATGGAACAGAACTGGACATCTGAACATCTGGATATTTGGTGACAACTGTGTCATCTCAAACTCCTGACAGAAAGATGGCATTTTAAATATGTACACTGAGACAACTAGACAGCTATTGGGGGAATATATATGTAAATGTACATAGACTAGGAGGATACGTGAATGAAAATTCCTTTCCATTCTGGGGTGAGAGAATCTTCCTAATACAGAAGGTGAAAAGCAACAACAGAATCATATAGAACCCTAGGTAGTGATATGCGGGACTTACTTTTAAGGAAGATGTACTGATGACCACAACTTACTTTGAAATGCATTGAAAACCCATTTGATGGCCCGGCCAGCATGACTCAGTGGCTAAGCATCGGCCTATGATCCAGAAGATCTCAGTTTGATTCCTGGTCACAGCACAAGCCCGGGTTGCAGGCTCCATCCCATTGGGAGTCGTGCAGGAGGCAGCTGATCAATGATTCTCTCTCACTGGTCTTTCTCTCCCTCTCTCTGAAATCAATAAAGATATATTTCTAAAAATAATATTAATTAAAATGATTCTGAAGTAGCATTTCTCACCTATAAAATTGGCACAAATGCATAAGCCAGAAAACAGCTCTCATGCATTGCTGGTAGGCATGCAAAGTGGTACAGCCTCCAAGGGGAGAAATTTGATAATAGCCGATTAACAAAGCAATTTAAGCTCTCAGACCTAGCAACAGCCCCTTCCAGGAATATACCTTAAAGGCCCACTTCCATGCTCAAACAATCAGGGCTGAGAAGACCTCACCTTGGGGTGAAATTTGCTACCTGCAGAGAGCAGAAGGGAAGCCCGCATCTCTGGAACAGGTGGGGCAATTTTCTCTTGAAGGTTTTTAAACCCATAGAAGTTATAAGACTAGTATCTGTATACCCATCATCTGGATTCCCTGCACATTAATCATTGCTTAATTTGCTCTTATATCTTTCCATGTTTATGTGATGGTGACAAATGGACCATTTGAAAGTAAGTTAAGACATTGTGATCCTTTTTCCCTAAAGGCTTTAGCAGGTAATTCCTAGGAAGAAAGGCACCCAAATAACAACAATGCAGAGATGGAATTGAGGAAATTTATCATTGACATGTACTATTTTTAATACACAATCCATATACAAAAATTTTCCAGTTGTCACAGTAATGTCTCTTTTAGCAATGTGTTTTCCTGTTTGGGTTTCAATCCAGAAGCACCTATTGCATTTTATTTATTTACTTTTTTATTTTTATTTTTGTTCATCTTCACCTGAGCTGATTTTTTCTTTGGTTTTTAGAGAGAGTGGAAGGGAGGGAGTGGAGGGGGGAGAGAGAGAAACATTGATGTTCTTCTGTTGGTTCTCTCCCGCACGTGCCCCGGAATCAAACTTGAAACCAAGGTACATGCCCTTGACAGGAAATGGAACCTGAGACCTTGGGGGGGAGGGGGGGGCACGCTCTAACCACTGAGCCACACCGGCCAGGGCCACACCTATTGCATTTAGTTGTCATGGTTTTTTAGTCTTCTGATCCTTGTCTTTTCTTTGTGCTCCATGACATTGACAGTTTTGAGGCAGAAATATTTTGCAGTTGAAATACACTGAGTTCTCTGGAGCAAGAGATTTATTCTAGGAATAAGACCTTACACAATTGCCTATAGGATCTATGGTGACGTCTCCTTCAATTCCTGATACTGGTAATTTTCTTTCTCTTTTATTTCTTCATTGGCTTTGATAGGAATTTGTTGATTACATTACTATTTTAAATAACTTTTGGGTTGTTGATTTTTATATTGTATGTTTGTTTTCTGTTTCATTGATTTCTGCTCTTACCTGTATTATTTGGTTTTCTACTTTGTTTTTAATTTGTTCTTTTTCTTCCTTATTAGATATTTGTTTAAAATTTTTACTTTTCTGCCTTGGCAGATGTGGCTCGGTTGGTTGGAGTGTCATCCAGTATACCCTGAAAGGTTTCAGGCTCAATTCCAGGTCAGAGCATATACATAGGTTGTGATTTGATCCCCTGTCAGGGCATGTACGGGAAGCAACCAATCGATGTTTCTCTCTCTCCCTCTCTCTCTTTCTCTCTCTCACATATCCTTGAATGAGGAATAAAAATGTTTTCTTTTACTTTTCTAATATATACATTAAAGCCATACACTTCCCTCTAAACATAATGTTTACAGCATCTGCAATTTTGCTAGCTTACATTTTTACTGTTCTTCAGTTTAAAAAGATACCTTATTTCCATTTTTATTCCTTTGACTCAGGAATTATTTAGATGTTGCTTACTTTCTGAGTAAGATATTCTACTTATTAACTCCTATAGCCCTCTAATTTAATTCAAAAGTGATTGGAATCTTGTCACATAGAAACCCACACCTGAAACCTGTATGTTCATATTAACCATTGTCACCCAATCAATTTAATTTAAAAAATAACAATAACAATAATAATAAAGTGGTTGGAGCCCTGGTCAGTTGGTTGAAGCATCATTCCTGCACCAAAAGATTGCAGGTTTGATTCTCTGTCAGGGCCAGGGCTGTACAGGTGGGGCCCTAGCACCTGCTAGGTGGGTGACTTTGGCTGCATTCCTTCCCCTGTCTGGGCCTCTGTTTCCAAGTCTGCAAGTTTGTTGAGCAGGGGCACTGAGTAAAAACCCTGGGTGCATGGGACTTGGAATGCAGTAAGTGCTAAATTATTGCAGCTGTTAGGACCTTTCCCCCATTTTACAAAAGTGGAAACAGGATCTGGATAAGGTCAGAGCTTCTAAGGTCAGACTAAGAAAATATTTGCAAAGCCTGAAAAGAACAAACCCAGACGAGCACACCTGGAACGAAATGCCTATGAACTCTATGTCGTTAATTCTTCCATTCCGTTCATGTAGCAATGACGCTGAAAGTGTCATTTTAGGGTTGAAGTGAGGAGGGTATGTCTCACCTTGTCCTGGGCAAAGACAGCTTAAGCAGTTCTGCAGAGACAGACAGGAACCACAGCCCAGAGAGGGTCAGCTTCCCACCCCAGGTCACACAGACCCGGGGGGCTCCAAGGACCCTGAGTTCCCACCTTCAGAGTTCAAATGTGCGTGAGGTTCCATCCCAGCCCCAGTGCTGACCCCTGGCTGCCTCCTCCTGACTTCTCAGGAAAAAAAAAACAACCACACACACAAAAAAACCATGCCAGGAAGCATCCATCATAGGCTGTCCAACTGAGCCGGAGGGGCACCGGTCAGCAGGGAGGTGACCTCAAGGTCTCCGTGGGGACCAGGATCTGGCAAGGCTGGGGGTGAGAGTCTGGAACTTTTCCCACCCTGAGATTTTCCTGCGTCAACCCAGGAGGGCGCCCTGGATGCCGCAGGCCCTGCCCCCAACCTCCTTCCTCTCTTGACACAGCTTCCCGGCTAAGGATGGATGGGGAGGGCGGGCCGAGGTGAACTGCCAGGCCCAGGAAAGGAGAGGCACTTGAGATTAAGGAAATGGAGGAGTCTGGCTCCGAGTGGCCAAGGGCTGGCTGCGGAGTCACGCAGCCCAGGGACTCGGTGCAAATGGGGCAGCCTGTAAGCTCCTGGCCCACCGGGCCTCAGTCTCCACTGTGCTGCCCAGGAATTGGACCCTAGCCCGGCCTGGGCGTGTGAGAAGCCCTTGGCCCTGGGCCCTGCCTCTGGTCCTTCCTCCCCCCATACACTGGAGACTCAGCCCTTCCTCACGTTAAATAGAAACCTCTTTATTCTAAGTATCGTACATTCCTTAATACATTGGATTGGGGCCAGACCTTGAGGTGAGGGGGGGGAGGGGGGCTGGGATATTTCTGCAGAGCCTTCCAACGCCACCCGTGTGCACCAGGCTGGGAGCTGGTGCTGGGAGCACGTCTCCTGGCCTTGGGAAAGTCCTTGCTCCCTCTGATCCCTGATTCTCCTCTGTACAGCGAGTTTGGAGGTGAGAAGACCTCCATCCCAGGGGTCTGTGGTCCGAGGCAGGGAGTCAGGGGGACGGTGTGTCAGCAGCAAAGATGGGGCACTGAGGCAGAGGGCTGGGAGTCTCAGCGCTGGGCCCGGGGCCGTGATGGAGGCGCAGGCCGAAGCCTGGGCAGACGGGCCAGACTGGCCAGACTGGGCCTGGCCAGCCGGGAGGCCGGGAGGCAGCCCAGGGAGAGCGGGAGGCCGAGGCAGAAGGGTGGGCGGGGCACGGGGATGTCTGCGAAGAAGGCGCGGTCCCGGCGCGGTGACAGCGCTCCCCCCTCGGATTGTTCCAGGTCCCGGGCCACGGCCAGGATCTCCTGGCGGGCTGCCGTGTTGTGCAGGCCGCGGATGTCGAGGAGGGCAGCCACGTGCTTCCGCCTGGATGCAGAGAAAGGGACAGGGATGGGGGTCTGCGCTCTGAGCACACCCGGCCCACCTGTGGCCCCACCTGACTCATGTCCCTCCCAGAACCTGCCTTAGCTCTGGAGTCCCTTTTCCCCTCCAGATACCTCCAAACCAGTCCTCTCAGACCCCCCCCCACCAGCCACCCAAATCTCTCCCTTCACATCAGCCCCCCTCCAGATCCCCTCTGGCACCGACCCCCAGTCTCCCCCCATGCCAGGCCTCTCCAGAACTTCACTTCCAGCCATTTCCAAATCCTCCCATTCATGATGGGTTCCAGAGCCCTCGCCTCCAAACCCAGTCTCAACTCCTGATTCAAATAGCCTTCAATCTTCAGCCCCAGCTTAGCTGAGGCAGCTCCCAAATTTCCATTCCGGCGCCCTCACGTCCGTTTCAGCTCTGGCATCTACAGCAACACTGAACTTCGTCTTCTCTTTTATCTCAAACGGCCCCACTTCGTCACTTAGCTATAGCCTGGAAGTGGCCATCCACATTCCCCTCTTTACCCTCACCTTGACCCAAGGCCAGTCTGGAAGTTTCTCACCAATGCGGCTCCAAAACTCGACTCAGGATCGCTCAACACAGATCCCATTCTAGAAACGTCATCCCCAAATTCCGCCTTGGAACCCTCACTCCACCCCCAATCCATTCCCAAATTCCAGTTCAACCAAAATTCCACTCCCCGACTAAAATTCACTTTGGGGACCTTGATTTCAGCTGGAAACATCATATTCCAAACCAACTCTACTCTACGACCTTTGCCCCTAAACCCACACAGTGGACCCTTCCCCTTCACCCCCACCTCAGCTCCAGATCACGGTCCAAAACAGCTCCAGAACCACCACCGTATTTCAACTCAAAGATGCTGAGCCCCACATTCATTTCCAGAAGTTTCATTCCAAAGGGCTCTGGGGCCTTCCCTGCTCCCTTCAATCCCGCTCAGTGCCTATACCTCCCCACATCCCTGTTTGGAATCCCCAAAGCTCCAAAACACCCACAATGTGGCTCAAGAACCGCCCAGCTCAGGTGAACTCCAGAACCCAGCCCCCAAACTCAGCTTTGGAGCCGCTCCTCCCAGCGCGGCCTGAGCCCTCTCAAGCTGAGCTTCAGATTCAAGTTCAGAAGCCCCAATCCAGCAGGAATGCTGGGTCCCCCAGCCCCATGAGACTCCGGGGCTCTCTGTCCTCCCAAGGGCATGAGCTCCACACCCAGAACCAGAACAGCCCATCCTGAATCAGTTCCAAATCCTCACCCTCAACCTCTAGCCCTCAACCCTGGAACCCAGACCCCGCAATGTCTCATTTCCTGTTAGTGTGGGCTTTGTCTCTCTTGGGTACAGAATGTCTGTCTGTCTGTCTGTCTGGATAGCACTGTGGTCTCCCTGCCACCACGGTCTGAATTTACAGGTGGCAGTGTGGTGTGGGGACCAGGTACTCCAGCTTTAGAGGCAACCTGCTGCCTGGGTTCATCTCAGCTTTGCCACTTGCTACTTAGTTTCTGCCACCTCAGATGGTGCCAGGTACTTAGGCCAGTGCTGCCTTTTACGTACAGAGTGGTCATGTAAGATGCCTTCTTCAGTCGGACTTCAGGACTCAATAAACAAGAACTGGTATTGTTATTGATGACGATGATGATGATATGATTTCACAATCTTATGAAAAGATTACTATTATCCTCATGGAACAGATGAGGAAACTAAGGGTCAGAGAGGACCACGGAGAAAGGAAATGGTCCACTGGGACCTGAACGGCGCCTGCCCCTGTGGCAGTGCGTGTGTGCCCGTGTGCCCGTGCATGTCCCCGTGTCCCCTGCGGCTCCCCTGTTGGGCCAGCCCTTCCTGCCGCCCGGCGGCCCGGAGCCCCCCTGCCCTGCGCTTCCTGTGCTTGCCTGTTTGTTTTCGAGCCCTGGTGGCTGCGGCAGCGACCTCGGCGGCGGCAGTCGAAGGAGGGAAATCGTGTTAATAATGCCCTGGTTCCAGCAGGAAACGGCCGTCAGACACGCTCGCCGCCTCCCTCCCTCACCGCAGGGGCAGGAAACCCAGGGACGGATGCCAAGGCCGTCGGGAGACCTCAGCCAGGCTGTGGCGCGGGGATGGGCGCGCTCACCTGATGTCTGGGTAGTCCCGAACCAGCACCCCCACCTCCACCTGGATGCTGGGCGTGTCTTCCAGCTGCAGGACTTCAGCCAAGTGGGGCACCACGGCGTCCAGCCATGAGGCCTGGGACTCCTGCAGGACAAGACCCAGGGCTCACGCTTTGCCCCACGGCCCTCTCCCCAAACCACGCTCTCCCGAGGCCCCAGCTTCCTCATCTGCAGAGGACAGGCCCTGGTCAGAGGTTATCTGGAACCTTCGGAAATTTGAAGAACTATCCTCAATAGAAGCTATTCCCACTTTTGCAGATAATTTGGGTTACGGGGGCACCCCTCAGAATCTAGTCCACATTTGCAAACTTGAGAGGGGAAACTGGATAACATGCACAAGGGCTCGCTCTACGTTCTCAATAAAATTTGCCAAAAAATAATTGTTTTTTGTTCCGAGGACTCCAGACCAGAAACTGGGATTGCGGTTGACCAGGCCCTTCTGTGATTTAAAATTCCTGGGTTTGGGCAGGTTAAGATTCTGAGTCTCTGTTGCATTTGGCTCCTACCTTAGTGCTCAGAATAATAGCTAGTGTTTATGAAATAGCAACTCTGTGCCAGGTAGGGGCCTAAGCACTTCACGGATGTAACTGATCTAACCCCCAACAATGTATCGAACCGCGATTCCCGTAGGCGCGCGGAGGGGAGCCCTAAGAAAGCCGGATTTTACCCCGCGAGGGCGAGGATCGGAGCGCTGCCGGTGGCTGTGGGCTGAAAGCTGGGTGAAAGTCTTATTCTAAGACCCCGCCCCGGCTATCGAGTTGGTGATATCGGAGCCCTTGCCCCCCCGGGCCAAACTGACCAGCCGCCGGAACAGCCTCTGGAGCTGCGCCGCGTCCTCCCGGAGCCTCCCGGCCACGCGGCT